TGTTCGGATAAGAAGTGGATTTTCTCTTCTTCTTAGATTATGAACCAAGAGGAAAGAGGCTCAAGATATGAGTAGGCATTATAATAAGAATAAGGCAGAGAATAGTGGGAGATGCTCACAGATGAACTACTGGAGACATTATTCCCTCTGGGTTTTAGTGGTAACATCTATGAGGTTGATAAAGCTTCAATCAGTGTGAGTGCACACTTTTCAAAAGACCTGCTGACTGTTTTATGCAATTTTAAATGGAATGGACTAAGCATGCTTCTTTTCCTTTTCTTACCGGGAAAAAAAAATACCCTAATCAACATGCAACTACTCTAGTGAAAGAAACTAGTAATTTCTCAAAATCTACTTAATCATAGGTTTTTGGAAAAAATTCTGAAGTACTTTCTGGCTTTTAATTCTAAAGTCTGAACATTTTACCGATTTGAAAATGCTTCCCGTGAACTCAGATTTGAAAACTGTAACCCATTTTTCTACTCTTTTCTACTTTCTTCAGAAGAAGCTAAAAAAGTTTTGACATTAAAAGAGGGCATTCCTAAGAATGATGATAGTCAGCTCTTAGGTACTAATAAAGAGTCCTTCAAAAATGATATTTCAGTTGTCTTCAATTTTCTAACTCTTTATTTTCTTTACAATGGTAAATTTGCTTTAATTTTGTCTGCCCAATTAAATAATTTTCAATAACATTTATTGCTAACTTTCCTTTAAAATACTCTGTAAGCCCTATTTCCTGACTCTTCTAAATTTGTCTGCTCATCAGCTATAGAGGACCATGTTGGTTTTGCCTGGCCGGTCCACTTCCCCTCATTTAGGTACAGAACCCTCCTCTCCGTAATGAACCCACAGCATGCAGTTAGTTCCCAAGGGACTGAGCCCATCTGTCCCACTAATCCACACACACACACACACAGCGGTGGATATCTGACCAACCCCTACCCAACTGGAGTCATTAATCTCCTTGGGATACAGTCATTATTTTAGGGGTAAGTATATGATGCAAGCAGAGCCAATCAGATTCTTCCTTAAAATCTGGTGTTCGGATAAGAAGTGGATTTTCTCTTCTTCTTAGATTATGAACCAAGAGGAAAGAGGCTCAAGATATGAGTAGCTATTCTCCTATCAGACAGAGAAAACCCACTAAGAACAAAGTTAACATATGTAGAGAAGCAAAGCATAAAGCCTGAGAAACCATCATATCGTATCATTTGAGCCTCTGGACCAAACTGGGCCAGTTTTATGTGCTAGTACACTCTGTCTATATTTAAGCTCTTTGCAGTTGAATTTCTATCACCTGCAGTTGAGAAACTCCTAACTGAATCACCATCCATATTTCTTACTGCTTTATAACATTGTTCTTCAACCCTTTTTGAGGGGTGGGGGTGCTGTTTCCCATAGCATGCAGGTCTTTTAATAATAGATGGGCCTCTACTCCCATTTTTAAAAGATCCCTAGATAAGTTGGGGGAAAAAAAAAAAATGAAGGCTGAAGAAATCCACCAAGTTCATCATTTACTTTGATAAGCAAACATTAAAACCCTGCTAGCTCTGTTTTCCTAAATGCTTTCTTTGTGCCCTTCTGACTCCATCTTCTTGTCTTCATGTCACCACTTAATTTCCTTTTGATTCTTATATATAATCCACCTCACTGCTCTATTCCTAATGATTAAAAACACTTAATTATAGCTTTAATTCTTCTCTAAAAGCAAGAAAAATAGAGATGTCCTTCCCTCTCCCAGCTGAGATACAAAAAGATGGAGGATCTTTTCTAATGTTCAAGGGACTATTCCAATAAAAACCCCCCCAAAGAATGAAATACAGGAAAATAATTGCTTTGGGGCTGATAATTTTCTACTAACAAATATAGCTATCATACAAATGATATCTAGGATTTATGACATTATACAAGGCTTCCCTGATAGCTCAGTTGATAAAGAATCTGCCTGCAATGCAGGAGACCCAGGTTTGATTCCTGGGTCAGGAAGATCCGCTGGAGAAGGGATAGGCTACCCACTCTAGCTAGTATTCTGGCCTGGAAAATTCCATGGACTGTATAGTCCATGGGGTTGTAAAGAGTTGGACACGACTGAGCGACTTTCACATGACATGCAAGAGGAGGCTAAACAGTAATCAGCCTAGAATAAGGTCACACATCTACCCCCAACATCGACCACTGGCGAAGATTTCCGTTTGTTGAAAATCTGATTCCTATTAGCACAGTGGCTCCTATTCCCACCTCTGTAAATAGCAATGTTTTGAAACAGATAAATTCTCAAACTAACAAAGTCAAAGAGCAGGTCATTGGAATGATTCTAGGCTGTTTTCTGCCTCCTTTTACGGTATTAAAACTTTGAATTATGTTGCTAGTAACTCAGGGCTTTCCTGTCCATTTCACTACGTAGGAGATTGTAGACAGTATTATTATTTCACCAAAAGGCTGACTCTGAGATAACTGGTATAAGTGTGATTATATACCTAGACTCCATTTTGATGCTTTTTTTAAGAAGATCTCTTTTTTCCTTGTTTTTAAGAAGCTCAAGCTCCATGGATAGACTTAGAGACTGTCATACTAAGAGAAGTTAGTCAGACAGAGAAAGACAAATATCATATGATATCACTTACATGTGGAATCTAAAAAAAGGATATAAGAGAATTTATCTACAAAACCGATGTACAGATGTAGAAAACAAACTTATGGTTATCAAGGGGTAAGGGGTTGGGAGGGATAAACTGGAAGGCTGGGAATAACATACACACTACTATATATAAAAGAGATAACTGATAAGGATCTACTGTATAGCATTTAATAGTTCTCAGTACTCTGTAATAACCTATATGGGAAAAGAATCTAAACAAAAGTGCATATATGTATACGTACAACAGATTCACTTTGCTGTACAACTGAAAATACCTCAATAAAAATTTAAAACTTTTAACTATTAAAAAAAAAAGAAGTTCAAGGTAGTTGCATGGATCCTGTAAGACTTTGTAATTAAAAAAAAAAACAACAACATGATTTAAATCAGATGATTCAGGTTTAAATTTCTGTTTTACCACTTATGTAGTTTTTGAATTTGGATATGTCAGAAATTTCTGAGTCTCAAGTTCCTTATCTGACAAATGGGATGAAATCTAGGTCATAGAATTACTGAATTATTGTGTGAATAAATGACTCAATAAATGAAAATATACCTTATAAAATTTAAAGTATGATACAAGAATCAGTTATTTATATATACACAGTACACACATATTTGTATGGGTCAAAAGGATAATTTTGTAACAGATTAATTTCAACGGAATACAGAAGGTTAAAGACAAGTTACTTATAAGCTTGATGAAATGTTTTATCAAGTAGTGGAATGCAATGAGGGACACTGAATGCCTTTAGAAAGGCAGAACTGAGGAATGATATTACAGTTGCAGGGAGTACAAGGGAAAGTTGTAAGGGAAAATGTAAGACATATTCACATAGAAAATGAAAGAACTGAGCATGAAGTCAGAATATGAATACTGTGACATACAAGCCCCGACTCTTTTCCAAGTCCCTATATTGCCCTAAAAATCTGTAACTAACTCTGCAGGCAATCAGGAAAGTGGAAGTAATACCAGTTGGGCAATCTCCATTGAAAGATTTCTCTTATTGCCAAAGAGCATGGCAATCTGTCATTCTCCACAAGACACAGAGCTACCACATCCTTGAAAAGACCATGTTTATAAAAATCTGGAAACACAGTTTGCATTCAATCAGAAGTAGCTCTTCAACCGTCACAGGACAGAGTTCATATTTGGTACCAAAAAAGATCTGAAGTTGGAATGCCATTTTTTCCCAGCTGAGAGTCATTTAGCAAAGGTCTGGGCAGTTCTGTCTCCATTTAGAGTGGGTCAGTCAGTTATAGATGAAGGGGGAAGTAAGAACCGTAGCTCTGAAGCTCACGAATGGACCAGTAGACCTGGTCCAATCTGCTCAATCCAGAGCACCAAGCTATCTCCCAGGGAACATGCTGTAAATCTCATTATAACAGAAATGTTTCTGCAGACAAAAGGCATTCTTCCTTAAGCTAGCTCTTTTAGGTGCCAAATTAAAGACTGACTTGTTCATTTCATTCAGAGATTTCAAAGGGGACTTTCTGGATAAGTTCCTTTCCAGTGCAGTCTTAGCTGAGAATATATATTATTTTGGAACAGACAGTGATTTCTTGGCATAGAACTTCCAGCATCACGATTTAGACTGAAAAATCATTAATCCCTTCCTGCTCCAACAGTAAGGATAATTTCTTATGTTGCTCAAATAAAATGGAAGGACTCCCTTCATTTCTACTTTCTTCAGAGACACGGTGCATTGTTCAGGTACTGGCCCTCTTCTGTCTATAGGGGAGACCATCTAAGTGCTAAACGATTCACGTTCATTTGTTCATATTAGGCTTCTGAGTATAGTTTAGGATAAACGTGATTATACCGTACACAGTAACTGAGTCTTAAGGACACTGAATCACTTGCCTAGGAATATGCAGTAATTAACAGCACCGGTATATAGACTTAAGGACGTGAGTCTATCCAATGTCTGTGTTCTTTTCATTTCCCTTCACCACGCTTTGATGGGTAACATAAAGATTAAATGGGCTCAGCTGGTTCAAGGCAATGCATTTACTTTCATCTACTACACATACTCTCAATCCACTTTGTATCAGTGACGACTTTTCCACCCATTCACAGAATCTCATTCCTTTGAATATTAAAGTCTTCTTTTTTTTTTTTTAAAAGGCAACAAAATGTCATGTGTTACAACAGGCTAGCGGACTGCCTGGGTTTGAATCTTGCTTGAGAAACTTTAGACAAAATACATCAGTTTCATCATCTGAGAAATGCAAGAAGGTTTTATGAGAACCATGAAACATGCAAATTACCTTGTACAGTGCCTGGCATGCAGTGAGCCTTCAATACAGGTTTGCTATTACTATTACTATGATTTGAAACATATATTACTATTTAAGACTGTTTTCCAGAAAGTTTTCTTTATTTTCTTTCCTGTTATTATTCATTAGACTTTCTATTTTTGTTTCCCTCGTTTTTATATTAAATTGGAATGGATGGGACTTAATTCAGTAAAGTGGTTGGTATAACAGTTGTATTTTTTTATAGCATTTGACAAAACTGTCTGCAAAATGGGGTCACCAGCAGTTGGCAATTCAGAGAGAAATCATTAAGGTTTGTCCTAAACAATCCATTTACTTTTTTGCTGATGCTGTATAAAGGAGGAACAAGATAGCCCTACTGACTTTTGCAAATTTGAAGCTCTTCTCTTCTACAACCTGTCACTTATGTGTAATAGGACACTCATTTAGCAAAGTATTAATATGTTTTAAGTCACAGATGCGTCCTTTACAAAAGAATAACATAAAATGAAGGGAAATAATGATAATTTTTACCAAAAGATTATTATAAGACACTTTAAAAGAATTATAAATGAAGAACTCTAAAAAGAGTGAATGTATAATGCAAATTTCCAAATTCACAGAGGAAGTAGTTAAAATGAGCCTTACAAAGGGAAAGATTAGTATCATATCTTTGCTATTTCACCAATATTTATGAAATGCTAGGAAAAATAAATAGAAAGAGAGCAAAAGTGATAAAGTGTTTGCAGATGAAACATAAATCTCTTAAAATTTCCAATCACATACAGGGGTTTTACATGTATCCTTTCTGGCTGAAACAAAGTGAAAAGAAACCTATTCAGGGCTGATTATTTCTGACCTGTGGGAACTTTTCCTGGGCCTTTGACACTTTTCTATATTTTGAATTTTTAAGTCCAGGGTATTATGATTGCTGGTTCTTCAAGTTTCAGCTCCAGCCTTTACTAAGCTGAGATATGCTTGCATCAGAGCCCTGCCCCAATGCAGAATTCCACTGAAATGGCCTTTGGAGGAGCTGTCACATGCTGCTCTGATTGTTCTCACCCAGCATGGACTTAGGACCCTACCACTATTGGCTTATATTTCCAAATGACAGAACATAACTTCATGAGATTAAAAAATGTACTCATTAAATGGATATAATATGACAAAAAAATGTATTCATTAATCAACTCAGCAGTATTTACCAAGACCCCACCAGGAGGGGGCGTGCCATACGGAAATGGCCCATTGAAATGTTTTAACGCAATGGTACACAAAGCCTTCTTTCTTACTTGTAAACCCTGACCAAGTATCAGGAACTAATTCTGCTGAGAGTTAAAGATCAGAGTCAAATTTCAACATGACTTCTCTCTCCACAGTATTGCAGTGAACAGAAATGTAAACTAAGAGATTCATTTCAGTTCCCTAAGTATTTCTTCCATTCCCAAACTACTCGGATATACTTAAGAAACACATCCATCCCATTAATGATAGCATGAAGGGTTCCAATTACAAGAGTTTCTATAACTTCTTTCAATGAATCATGCAGGGGGGAAAACGATTCCCAAACAAAATGACAGAGAGAAAATTCTAGTGTTCGTGTTTGCTTAATAAACACTCAAAAATAGAAAACAAGGCTCAATATGATTTCTCAACACTAGTTAGCTAAAATCTACATAATTATTCTAATCTTTTTGTAATGAGAGTTAAATAACAAATATCCCAAACTCCCCAGAAAGGATTATCATTTTGGGGAATGGAATGCTTATCCTTAGGGGAAGTCGATCTAATCTGAGCATTTCCTTTCCTGTTTGATTTTACTAGATTATTGCCATCAATCCAGTTAAACGATGCTTTATCTAGTTAAAGTATAGTCAAAACATCATACTTATGCAATAAAAATACGTTTACATCGTATTGTGACAGTCTGGGTATCACCAACCCAAATGGATTTTAAAATCAAACTGGATATTTAGACTGACTGGCAAAACTATGGAAATTGCCTCAAAGAAATACCTCCTTTTCAAGTATTTTATACCAGGCTGATAGAGAAAGGAAATTGTTCATTAAACACACTCTCTGGGCTGGAATAGAATAATTAGGAATATCTATGTAATGAAGAACTTAATAAACTGAGAAAGAGCTTTAAATAAAGAGCTAAAATCAGGGACAGAAAGACTATAGTTGTAAGTTTTATTTTCAAGGCCTGATACACTCCCCTGTTGCATATCAAAATTTAATTCTAGGCTATTCACAATTTATAAGTATCAAAACTATTTTTACTAGTCCTTGCTAACTTCTTAAGTTCCCCTGACACAGCGCAAAGCACCAATCAATCTAACAGTTGCAGACCTCCACAAGCACAAAGCACATTTCACATTAAACATTTGAAAACTAATCTGAGATCTTGCCTAGGGACTTGCTTTCAAACATTTTCATAATTAGTCACTTGCTATCAAATCTGAATCAAGGGCATCTATATATAGTTTCCATAATCCATCACAACAGACTTTATATGAGAACTGAGGAGCTTTTTGGAATAAAGGTCCCAAACAGCTGGGTATCACGCCTCAGGCAGTTGCTGAAGGCATTATGATACACTAAAAAAAGAAGAGTAAAGAAACGAACAACTGACAATGTTCTCTGTTGCTCACCCAGAACTAGGCCTCAGAAGTGCTGCAGTTATACACCAACATTCAAAGACATTACATTACCTTAAAACTGTGTATGCATCTCAAGGGGAGGGGATATCTGGTCAATCCCAAGCAGAGCAGGAGTTCATTTCTATTCCAAACAGCAAACACCATCCTATTCCCAAACTTGATACCCCATTCCCCAATAAGGATAGAGGAGAGATATGAACATGATCTTCAGAAGCAGATACTGTCTTGGGTTAAACACTAGTGAACAGAATATTTAAATATACTTACATGAAGAGGTATTTGTTCCTTCTGTTGATACTGATATTCTAATGGAAGACTCTATAAAAAATAAAAGTGGAATGAAGCTTTATTGAGTCATGCCACTTGGATTCTTAAATTAGAAATTTTGCCAGTCTTGGGTATCACCTATGACAAGAGGTCTAGAAAATGGTGCAACAGAAAAGCTGAAAGCATCTCAAAGTCAAAGGAAGGTATATGCAATATTCAAAGAATAGTTGAATATCCCACAGAGGAATGTTTCTACAGTCTGGATACAAAGACTTCTGAAAGTTGCAAAAGGGGCTGGTCCATCTGCAAAGATATCCCTCCACACACCAAACTGCTCTTCAAATTTCCTAGAACCACTACTCTGAACAGATCCACACTCCAGGTAAGACAGACAATTCCTTTTCTTAGGTTGGTCTTGATTTTAAGAAACATGAAACCAAAGAGAACACTCTCCACATTTAGAGAGAATGAAAGGCAACTTTCATGCTTAGAGGGAAAAAAAGAAGGATGAAAATATTTTCAGGCAAACTGCTCTGCATAAACATTCTGGCCAAACACAATGCTGAATATAGTCCATGCAGGGTCCACTAGAGTGATTACATTAGGATTGAACAAAATGTACTAAATAAATACATAATACAATCATTGGGGATGCACACCAGCTTGATTCTCTCAGATGGTAAGGCTAAAGGAAGAAAAACCAGTATTTAGGTAAAGCAGAGCATAAAGCATACCTCATGCAAAAAAAAAAAAAAAGCATGAGACCTAAGGGTTTTTATGAGTAAGAACTAAGAACAACTCAGTATCAAAGAAGGATTGAAATTCAGCAGCCATAAAGTTATAAAGATTCAAGTCACATATCCGAAAATAATAGTTACAGTCATTCCAAATTCCCAAGGCAAGCACCCCATAAATCTAAAAGCTCAGATTTGTAACAGCACCTATTGGGGTCAGAAAATGAAGTCTGTACATTAAAGAAATGCCAGAGTGAAAGGTGAGGAAATTCAGAAACTCTACAAATTTTTTCTTATCTCCATCTCTCCATATCCCCTCTCTCTCCCACTCTTTTTCTGCTACTCAGAATAGTGAGATCCTCTTATACTCCAGGATCACACCACCTTACAACACAAGCATATGCCCTAAATATGATCAAAGTGGCCATAGAGAAAACCAGATTTTTTGATTTTGAACAATGACTTTGAAGAGAAGAGGCTAAACTGGGGAAGGTAAGATAGAAAATGGCTGTAAAATCACACGGCCTCTGAGATTAAATATTTATTTGTAAATATTCTAAAAGTTTTGTTAACTACATAATCACAAAGGATAAGAAAAAGTAAAAAAAAATAAATTAAATTCACACCAGATGAATGACATTCATGGCTAGTGGAGAAATCAATGAATTAGGGCTATATATGGGTTAGTAGAGTTGGGTTTTAAGTAGCTAATAAATGCTCAGACCACAATTGCTATCAGCACATATTATAGGAAAGTGAGAAACAAACAAAACCAAACAAATCAAAGAAAAAAAAAGCAACAGCATTTTAAAAAGTCAGGCTTATAACAATGCTTCTGCCCAAGTTCAGTGACCCACAACTGAGCATTAAGAGCCCAAAGGTCAGAGGTCAGACAGTGATACATTATCCAGGAATGAACTGTGATGGATGAAGGAGGGCAGAGACCACTAAGAGAAGCACCTAGAAAGATATAAAAGCTGAAGTTACAACCCAGATATCTCCTTTCCTGGTCTAGTGCTCCTCAAGTTCCATTTAGGTTCCTTTTTCTCATGCATGCCTCTCGGGTCCAAGTTCAGACACACAGCAAGAACCATACTCCTTTAAGGAAAATCCAAAAAAGGCAGAATGAACTGGGGAAAAAATGTTGGAGCAGAAAACAGGAGCAGCTGAAATGTGGATGCAGAAGGGGTTCTGATTAGTAGAAGGAAGAGCCAGCTGTGATGCCTGTCGTTCTGGTTAGTAAAACTCGACAAGCTTATTTTCCTTACCTGAAGACACATACGCTGTCTCAGTTGAGGCTGGCATGCCAGTGGTGATCTCTGCAAAAAAGAAAAGTTGATAGGACATTACGATGTACAGTCAGGAGGCTGGGAGTCAGCTCCACAGCCTGCCTTCAAACCAAAAAAATGTGTTTAAAGAAGGAAGTATTGCAAGGAGGTGATGAAAGCTCCGGCTTTATCCACACAGAGAGTGAGAAATGCGAAAAAGAAGACTGTCCAAATAAGTAGTTTTTCTTTCTTGGGCAAAGAGCAGGAGATGGGCTGTGACAGAATAATTAGCAAGAAGTCCCTGCCCCCACTGCACTCGGTGGAGAAGAAAATCTAGCAAAGAGACTGTGGGCTCCTCTTCAGAAAGGAAGACAGAAATGGCAAAACCAGGAAAAATCAAAGTCGGGGGATCAAAGTTGTGGTCAATATTTTTAAATTATAGATCTCTGGAGAATTCCACTTCTGCCCAAATCAAAAGCAAGTAATGTTTCTAGTTGGGATTGATGAAAAACATCAGGTTCTGGCATCAAACGCTACATAAAATTGCCAATGGTAATCATACAAGTGTCTTATCATTTCAGCTACTCAGGGCAGGGCACAGAGTAAGCAGGCAGCTTCCAACTCAAGGAAATGCAGAGTTGACCTGCACACCTCTGGACACACTATCATTGTGGGGATTGTGACAGTGTTGTTCAAACTTTGATTCGCTTTCTAACTGCCTTTTATGATGGCCTGAAGGATGAATATGTTGTCTAACTCTGTACTCATTCAGCTCTTCTGCAAAGAGCTTCAGTTTGTTAAAATCTGATGTTTTCAGTAAGGCAAAGGTTTATGAAGCCTGGCAAGATATAGAGATGCAACAGTGGATATTATTCAACCTTCACTGTGTGTATTATTATTGTCATGCATTATTGTCAGATGACTTAATGATATTCTATTATTCACTATTACTAGCCAGGACAAAAAGAAAAGTAGAATCTTTTAAAAAGATTTTTAAAAGTTACTAGAGTCTACTAAAATCCAGTGTTGCTTAGTTGCTAAGTTGTGTCTGACTCTTTGGTTACCCCACGGACTGTAGTCCGCCAGGCTCCTCTGTACTAAAATCGTAAGTATGCCATATATTATCATTTTATGTTGGGATTAACAGCCTGTTAATCATGTAGTTGGAAAAGTTCATGACCAATATAATCATCTTTAAATACAGATGACCACTTAGGGTTTCCCTGTTAGAAGTAGACCAGTAGGTAGGATGAATTAATTTAAGTGGCAATATTTATTCAAGTTCAGAGGCCCGAAGGATAAATGGTTTGTGGAATTGGGAAAAAAAATGGTTTCTGAGATTCAGTAGGTATGTTTAAGAATAAGCATCAAGTTAAATGAGTATATATAAACATCAGAAATACATCTTTAGTAAGACCAATTATATTTTCTCTCTTGCACATTAATATGGACAGTCCTCTCTAATGAGGCATTAGGAAGACAAACCACTCAAAGTGCAAGATTATCAAGCCACCAGTCACCTACATCAGCTCTCATACCTACTGAAAATGGGACAAAGTCAAAGGAATCCATATGTGAGGATGTATAATGTTCCTGGGACATTCTCATGCAGCAACCACTAAAGAGGATATTGTTTTTTTGTTGTTTTCAGTTAAGCCATGCAGCATGTGAGATCTTAGTTCCCCAACCAGGGATGGAACCCACGTCCTCTGCATTGGAAGCACAGTCTTAACCACTGGGCCACCAGGGAATCATGAACCCTTGACAGGAAAGCCATTGGCATTATCCTCTTTAGAGTTAACCTGCTGGCAATGGATATAAAAGATGGGGTCTGTAAAATCTCTCTTTCTTGGACATTTATTTCTTGGCTCTGTAGAAATAGTTTTATTAGATCTCCTCTATCATTTCATAATATACTTGTGGACTAAAAGATATAAGTGGTATATAATATCAGTCAATTATGTTAAACTAACACGTCTGCCTGTACCGTGTTTGTCATTAGCCTGAATAGGAAGGCCTTTAAAATTGATTTTTTATGAAAGCCTTTGACATCTTGCTTGGTATTATACTCATTCAGTAAAATATTTAATTAGCACTAAGTGTGAACTAGACCCTGTTGCTAAGCCCTAGCAAGCAATCATCCTAGGTAGAGTTAAACCCTTAGTAAAACTGCAATATTACACATGCCTTAATGAGGTCTGAATGTTAAATAAATTGTATACTCACTTTAAAAAATAAAAAATAAAGAGGATACTTCAAGTTGGTAATATGGCAATACCTTGTTTCTGAAGTGGGTACAACTAGCTTTCTTGATATGGGCTGCAGAAAATAAAAATGTTCCTTTTGGGGGAAAAAAATCTAACTGAAGAAAAATCTTATCAAAGGTTCACAGCATTTGTCTTTTTCTATAACTTTCCAAGCAAGTACCCACATGGGGAGTGATGCTTCCTCATTCTGTTAGATAACTACAAGCTAAGAACTTGTACACATCTATACTAAAAGAATCTTGTTAATAAAAAAGTTAATCTTTTTGATTAAAGCCACTAAGGAAATATTTTTATGTGTATTTGGGGTAGAATGTACAGACTGAGCAAATAAGCTTTTGTTACAGTGGTGATTGAAAGTAATCTTGTAACAATTACAGATTTTTAAAAAATTATCAAGTCCTGCAGTCTCCTTGATATTTAAGCAACATATTTTCCCTGAGTAATTTGGTAAATTTTGTTAATTGATAAAGGACGCCCCCTTCATTAGTGCAAATTAATAAAGACTTAGAATCATCAAGAATTGAACACAGCTGAGTAGTTTATGCTGCATAGACAGTAAACATATGGAACATTAATGTATTTGTAATGTTTTCTTGTTTAATAAACTGGATCTGGTCTCAAGAAAAAGTTGCCCTGTCTTAAAAATAACACCTTCTGGAAAGGAGTTTTTCTAATTATTATGTATACATGACTTGCATGAGAATTCATCATGAGCACAATATACTAAATATAACTATTTAGCAAAATACACATAAACAAATACAAGCATACATATGATGTGTCTGTGTGTATTTAAATATCCAATTATGTGACTCTTTATTATTCTAAAATTATAGGTCATTACTGTACATTTGAAAATAGTGATAAAGTATTTATTTTTAAAGATTTAAGAGGGGCATACTTATTTATTAGCACTAGTAAAAATGACTTCAGGAACATATTTAAGCTCATAATGAGTGTTAGTTTTAACACGTTGTTGACTGGGGGATTTTTGTAGAAACTAATGCCTGTGGCCTGCGATTTGTTATGTAAGCGGATATTGAAATGTCTCCAGTCAATAACATTTGAGTAACAAAAGACACTTTAATATGTTTCTAGTCAATAATGAGTTAAGCAATTGAGAAATTTTGGAATTAACAAATGGTATAGAGGCAGGATGAATACTATGCATTGAAAAGAGAGTGCTTTTGCACTCAAAGTTCTCTTCCATACTACCCTTCATGGGAATCCTATGTAATGCAATATACATGGAGATTGCTACACAAACTATGTGCTTCTTAGTATCACTATAGGTTGCTGCTATAGTCAAAGATCCATCTAGTCAAAGCTATTGTTCTTCCAGTAGTCGTGGACAGATGTGAGAGCTGGACCACAGAAAAGGCTGAGGATCGAAGAACTGATGCTTTCGAACTGTGGTGCTGGAGAAGACTCTTGAGAGTCCCTCAGACAGCAAAGAGATCAACCCAGTCAATCCTAAAGGAAATAAATTCTGAATATTCATCAGAAGGACTGATGCTGAAGCTGAAGCTCCAGTACTTTGGCCACCTGATGCGAAGAGCCAACTCACTGGAAAAGACACAGATGCTGGGAAAGATTAAAGGCAAAAAATAAAGATGGCGACAGAGGATGAAATGGTTGGATGGAATCACTGACTCAATGCTCAATAAGTTTGAGCATACTCCGAAAGATAGTGAAAGACAGGGAAGCCTGGCGTGCAAGTGGGTCACAGGGTCAAAACTTAGCGACAGAACAACAACAACATAATCTGTTCACCAATATCATGGCATTTCTAACAACACTGTCAATGTGGGTTATCCATATGAGCCAACTTTTTAAAGGATCAATTGATACATTAATCAAATTTTGTAGAAATAATTTTTTTTTCTGCTCATCTAAAATGAAACAGCTATTTTATTGCCAGGAGCCCCATGGCTCCTATGGGATCTTAAAACTCACTCAAATAATTTTTCTCCTGATTAAAATAAGAAAACCTAGTAGAAGATATGATTGATTAGCTGTATAGTCTCCTGTATTAATCTTTGAAAAGACAGCAGTACTTAATTAATTTGAAAACTAGTTAGGTCTATTATTCTCTTCCCTAAGCTGATGCCCAGGAGTTTTTAAGAGCTCCTTAGATATGAAGTCATGGCTAAATTAATGTTTCCTCTATAAAGACCAAGCCAAATAAAATACAACTGAAAATGAACATATAGCACAGGGTCTATTTGAGCATGGTGTATGTGGCCTTTTAAACCACTATATTTGAATTCATGAAAAGAACTAACCTATAATCTATCATGTAATGATGACTGATTTTGTATCCTTCTTTGTAGGAAAACTCAAATGGACTTTGTTAGACTGACATAGTCTCAGAAATCATTAGCAGACTGCATAGGTTTATATATGCTTCTGTATGACAGGTTCTTATTTCCAAATAAGGCAGGGGTTAAAAGGCATTGGAAAAGGCAGAAAACATACAAATTTCCAAAATGCTTAAGAAAATGACCAGCCAAATATTCTCTTCTAAATGTTTGAAAACATTGGAAATCGGGTCATTGTTTCACTCAAGCATATAACGATTCAAGGGGAATTTCTCAGAGAATTTCTCAGTCTTTTTGTATTATTTCATTTATATTTAGTTGCTAATCTAAGCAGATCTAAACAGTGAGTTTCATTTTAGGATGTTTATAACATTAGATGGAAGGTCTTTATAATCTGTGCTAATTTCGTTCTAATAGTTACATAGCTGTCATAATGGGATTAAAAATAGTGTCAAACAACAAGCTCGACTGGCTAAATTTTTCTTTTTCTCCTTAGGAGAAAAGAAAACACAGTCTCTCAAGCATTTTTCCCCCTAACTCCTTCCATTTCTCTTAGAATCTTGTCTTAAAATATGTTCTAAACATCTGAATGCAAAGAAAGCACTGGTGTGAGAATTTAAGTAAATCACAAGAAATCCTTTGCACGGAGCTAGGATAATTAGCTCAGGGCTGTATTCCAGGATCTTTCATCAAGGCAACCTATGTAGAAATTATCAAGCTATAGTCATGTATTTAATGGAGAAATATGGGAGAGATGAGTGAGACCACACAAAACAAGCAAAATGACTAATATTCCACAGACAACATAAAATCTCAAGAGGAGTTTGACATCGTATAATATTTTGGCAACATGTTCTTATTTTTAAGACTTTTTTTCCCTAACAGTCTCACCATGGTGGGGGGGTGGGGGAGATTATTGAGAATTCTACTCTCTCCGCCCAAGTCAAGGGTAAATACATATCTAAGAAGAGATGGTTTGGCTGAGTGACAGCTTATAACCACAGTAGAGCATTCTTTTTCTCTCTGAAAGAGTGTTTCTGTGCAACCTCTGCCCAGAATCTTGGAAGACAGGAATTTGACAACATGAAGGTAGTGAATTTGAGTCCCTGGGAGCTCAGGATCTGAGACTTCTTGGATAACCAACCTTGAGCTGAACATAGCAAATTCATAGATCACAGTAGAAGGGGGTGAACATCAGAATGATTATGTATTTTCCTTCTGGTGGTGCTACAACCAAGCTGCTGAGATGCAGGGAGAAAAGAGCGTTTCCCAACGTGCAGAATGCTCTGGCTCTGTCTGTCCTGGTGCCTGAGAGTACAGGCTCTGATGAACTGCACAGCTGACCCACAGCCTCGGAAAAGAGGAGCATTTCTAGGCAGCCATGTTTCCGGCTTCACTCTCCTGGGCCGGGCCCATGGTGGGGACCTGGGCAGAACACGCTGATGAGCTGTAAGCTCTATGGATCTTTGGGTGTGATCAGATCTGCCAGTCAGATTCTTGCTATGGGGAATCTGATTTGGCCCCTGAGGCAACAATCACACAGTCAGAGCCAAAAGTGACAAGCTGCCTTCAAAAGAAACATGAAGAAGAATATGGCCAAATGGAACCGTAATCAGGTCAAAGTTTGGAGTTACAAAGGAGCATAAGTGAAAGCAGGTTAGAAAATACAAGAAAGAGTCAGAGAGTCAAGAATGTATCTGGGCACCTCAAGGGCAGAGACTTGAGAGGGAAGTCAAAAATTCCTGATGCTTAAACTTGTAAAGACACCCTAGGTACCATTTTCTCCTGGAACCCCAGTTATAATGAAGCTCTAGTTCGTCCCAGTGGAATCCCTCTCTTTCCGCCTCACACCATTTTTTTTTTTCCAGTTTTCGTCCTTCACAAATCAAAGAATCTACCTTAAATATTCACAAACACACAGTCTGGTATTGAGTAAGCTGTACTGAACCAGGACGTAAGGAATTTAAAACAAATCTTAGGTCTCCATTTCTTTTTAAATACAATGAGAAGGTTGGATATGGAAGAACTAGTCTTAACATTCTAAGAAGAAAATAGAAACAACCACCTTGCACAGTAATTGAGATTCTTCATTCCTCCCTTCTAGTCCTTACGGAATTTTAGTTGATTGTTTAAGGATGATTTCCTTACTATTTCATGACCTTCTCTTTTTTCTTGTCAGGTAAAAAAGATTGATTATCCAAAACATCCCTATTTTCATTTCTCTACACTTTATAGTTGGTCAATACTACATTCAAATTCGAGATCAATTCTTAAATAAATTAATATGGAAAATAAGCTGAATATCTCTCCCATGAAAGGGATGTGAAAAACAGTTATTATCAAAACTTCAGCACTCCCAAATTAATAAAAAGAAATCCTATGAGTTTTTGCCAATAAAATAGTGGTAAGTAATTCACTGCTTGATACTGTAATTCACTGCTTGATATGTGGAATATTAAATATAATCCTACTGTAAGCACTCAGTAAAACTATGACACTTTAATTCTATTTTCCTGGGACTTTACAATATACATAGCTACACAAATCTAATCCAAGTGTTCAAATATAATTCAGTAGCCTTTACCAGGAGAAGATGTACTGAACCAAGTCACTGACAAACTGAGAAAAAGCTATTAAACATGGTATTATAGAAAGAAAAAATTAGTCATTGAAATTTCAAATTTTCATTTCTAGTTGCATCCTATAAAAGTCCAAGTGGAACAAAATAACACAAGCAAAACCCTGTTGCTTTACCGATGCTGATTAAAAAGTAAAGTGATGTTATATTTACTGACATAAATTTTAAATGGCTTTTACATTTTAAACAGTAAACATGGCCCGTAAAAATAATCATGGAAACCAGTTTTCACTGTTGTCTTTTACTTTCTGTGGAGAGAGGTATTCAAAATGAAAGAAATGAACTTTGATTACACTGCAATAGAGCAATGCATTGGGAAGTCCACAGAAGACTAGGAATTAACCTGAATATTTCCTGAATATTATCCTGAATACTCCCAACCCTGTTCCATATTTTTATCTCACTCCCTTCTCCCTATCCTGTTATCAACTGAATCAAACCACATCAGTCTCCTAAGGAGTTAACCCCTAAGAGTACTTTTCCTCTTCCCTTGTTGGGTCTGTAATTTTGCCTTATCACTTTTCAGAGATCAGGCCTTTGCAGTGGGCATTCTTTCTCATCACCTGCCTAGAAGTGGTGCCATTATGCTTGGTTTTATAATAGATGACAAGGCTTGTGAAGACAGCAGTCTAGTGCCAACATCCAAAACAGCACCAAAGGTTTCAAAGTAGCATTTTATTGTTTCAAGAGATTTAGATGCTCACTGCTAGCTCGTCATCAGCTTCTATAGATGACTCCATCACTTTGTGGAATACTAACGGATCGTGGACAGAGAGACACCAGCTATGCCCTTCCTTTGCCCTTCCTCAGATAACTCAGAGGGGTTGTCAGAGGATAGGGGGCACCTTCTGTCTCCAACTTATTTATTTGTTTAACAAATAGCCTCTGACACTGCTCTTAGGAAAACCGAAGCTGAAGCCTATATAAATGCTTATTTATAAAGCCTATACAAGTTGAGTTAAAAATGTTTTGCCTCTAAGACTCTCTTGATTTCTGAATTAATGGGCTCAAAAAAACCCTGATAAGTTTAACTTTCTACTACCTAGAGTCAGACATATTGAAAACATATATAAGAACATAAAATTGCCAGGACTAAGTCACGATTGTATTCTGTTTATACACACACAATGTACATATATTCATACATAATACACGTTAGTATGAAATATATACAATATATATTCTGTATATAAATTATATATACATATATACATGCATACATATTCTGTTTTGACAGAGCAAAAAACTTACCTGCTGTCCCTGACTAACCTAAAGTGGAGGTATAATCTCTTTCTTGCAGCAATCCATTCTGTCTCTGCTGTTCATGATATGATTCCAATCCTTTTTGAATAATCTATGTATATTTCAGGTCTATTTCACCTTATGGCGTGAAGAGCTTTACAGGAGGACCCATAAGGCATTTCAAACATAGGGTTTTCCTTTCATGACTTCTATTTGCTCACAAGGAGATTTAACTCACCTATGTGACACAAGTGAGACCACACACCTTGCTCACTCCTCTTAGAGACTGAGACATAGCACGCAGTAGGCGTCTCTTACCGTTTGACTCCACAATGGTGATGTTGGCAGAGGCACTGTCATTTCCCAGTTTGCTGATCACTTTGCACATATATTCTCCCGAATCAGCCAGTGATGCTTTGCTAATGCGAAGTTCTGATTTCCTACAAGATCAGGACCAAAGTGTTTAAGTATATCTCACAGAAATACGATGATCATCAAAATACAGTCTCTGCAGTTTTAGAGTTTTCAAACTCCCCCTTCTCACTCTGCACACACAACTGACTGGACTTCCCTGGTGGTCCAGTGGTTAAGATTTGCCTGCCAATGCAGGGGACATGGGTTTGATTCCTGGTCTGGGAAGATGCCACATGCCTCGGAGCTACTGAGTCAGTGCACCACAGCAAGAGGAGCCTCTGCTCTCTGCAACCGGAAAAAGCCCTGGGGCAGCGGCGAAGACCCTGCACAGCCTTAATTAATTAACTAATTCAAAAATGGTCTACACCCAAAAAATCTTTAAAAAAAACCCCACAGCTGACTATAGATACATATACGCATATATATATATATACGATTTTACCAAAATCACCCCAAAAGTGAGATACATCTCATTTAAATTATAGCTTGGACATAGTTTTAATTTCATCACCCAGATCAGCAGTTTAAAGGAATTCTTTTCTAAGTTTTCTTTTTATTCCTCTAACACTACCACTAACCACATTACGCTTCAGAATATTTTTTCACCCAAATGTCAAATTTTCTTTCCTCTGTATATCTCAGTGTCAGCAGCCAATAGGGTTAATTAAGGAGGATAAGGAAGTATAAAGCTGTTTCTTATAAGTCTGGTAAGGACAGATACTTCAGTGAAGGCTAGACTAGATTAAAATGCTCTACACTTCTTAGTAGAGTGACATCAGGAATTATGTTAATTTTGAATGAAGAGAATGTAATACTTCCAAAATAAAGGGAATTTGTCATTCTTTAAAATGATTCTCATTGCTGGGAACACCATACCACACAAATGGTTCTTAATATAGAAATAAATATTCATGCAACAATAACACACACTTTCATAAAACTACATATTAAATCAATATTTGGCACTCTTTCTGAACATGGGCAACATTGTGATTTGCATCTGTCCATGCTTTACTATTGCACAAGCCTATAATTTAGGCAGTGCCTATGATTTAAAAACTCAGAACTACTGGGATTGGCTCAACATTTATTAAAGCCTTTCTAAAGTGTCCTTATATACAGGAGCCTGATATTGACAGCCTGGATTTTTGAGAGGAGGACAACAGGGAGAAAACAGGGCAGAAAGCAAAGACAGCAACTCAGAAGTATATGCAATCCTGCTATAAATTTATTGGTGGCGTTATTGAGTCGCTAAGTCCTCTCTGACATTTTGCGACCCCATGGACTGTACCCCGCCAGGCTCCTCTGTCCATGGGATTTCCCAGGCAAGAATACTGGCGTGGGTTGCCATTCCTTCCTCAGGGGATCTTTCTGACCCAGGGGTGAAACCCATGTCTAACCCAAAAATGTGGATTGTTTACCGCCAAGCCACCAGGAAAGCCCTCCTGTAAATTACACCCTCCTAATTTTAAGTGAATTTTTTGGTCTTCTTGTCATATACTATTATTAATCAGGTTGGATCAATTGCTCCAAATTTAATTTCTACTCTTCTCCTCCTCCAGTCTACTGAATTAATCCACCCTCCTCCACCTGCAAGTGTAAGTTTTATGGCCTGCCATCTTCATGATTTGCTTGTGTATTTCTTCATCCTAGAATGGGTACCCCGTATTTTGACCCATCAAGATATTAGCTGATCTTCAAGGACCATCTCAAGTGCCAATTACTGCATCAAGCCTCTCATGATCATGTAGCTGGAGCTGCTCTCTCTCTCTTTGGTCTCATTTCTGCCAGCCTTGAGTAACTCTCTCAGGAGAATCTTCTTAAAGAAATAGAGTAATGAAATTTACAGTTAACATGAGCTTACAGTTTAATCTGACAGTGATAGCTCTTAAACTTCTCCTAAAAGACCTGGGCAGTGTTTACTGGAATACTCTTCCAAGGAATGTAAGTAAATGTTATGCTTAAAAAGAGAAACAGAGACACAGACATAGAGAATGGACTTGGGGTGACAGGGAGAGAAGGGGAGGGTGGGATGAACTGGGGGATTAGAATTGACGTACATACACTACCGTGTTTTAAACAGAGAGCTAGTGGGAAGCTGCTGTAACACAAGGAGCACAGCTTGGTGCTCTGTGATGACCTAGAGGGGTGGGAGGGAGGCTAAGAGGGAGGATATATGTAGCTATTCACACTGCTGGACAGTAGAAACTAACCAAACATTGTATAGCAATCATGCGTGCAAACTCAGTTGCATCTGATGCTGCAACCTCACGGACTGTAGCCCACCAGCCTCCTCTGTTCATGGGATTTCCCAGGCAAGAATACTGGAGTGGGTTGCCATTCCAAGCAGTTATACTCCAATAAAAAATTTTAAAAAATAGAGAAACAGAAAGACAATAAGAAAAAAAAAAAAAAGAAATGTTCTGCACTCAACTAATGTTTCTTTAAACAAGCAGATTTCTTTACAACCTACCTCTTAGTCATTTTTATGCAGTTACAGTGAATTTCTAAGGCAGGCATGAGAAGTGACTAAGAAATCCTTTTTGTAGAGACACCCTTGGGAATTCTAGGACTGTGCATCAATGGGCCAAGACCAAGAATCAGTGTAATCAAGATAAGCATAACAAATACATTCAGGTTCAAAAATCAGTAGCAGAAATACAGGCTGGGAGAGAAGAGCCTTGACAACAATGTATACAGAAAAAAGGATTTCAATTAGCCACATGTATTAATATTACTCCATTTTAAACAACTATTTAAAAAAGAAGAAAAAAGTACTACTGTTTGGCCAAATTAATATTAAAAGAGCAGAAACCAAATTGGATAAAAGTCTCAATACAGTACTTATAGGCTGGATCATATCTGGAGTATTGAATTATGCTTCAAAGTGGCATTTGATAAAAAAAAATATCAACAGGTAGAGGACTTTAGAAGAGGGTGATCAGAATTGAATACAGCCTAGATATCTTAACACCAGAGAAGATGCTATTAAAGTAAGAAAGGTTCCACTGGCACGGAGCTATGAACAAGATATATAAATATATTCCATCTTTATTATCTGGAAAAGGAAAGTATTTGGTGAAGCTCTTGAAGGTAGATTTATGCCTTATAGGAAAAAGAAGGGATATTTTGGACGATATATAAGGAAGGACCTTTTGAGTGTTCAATAAGGATAGGATGTCATGTGAAAGAGGTTTTCTATTTAGACAGATTCGAGTCTGGATTGCCACCTGTCAAGCAGCTCCTAACAAGAATACCTCTATGCAGAAAAGATTTAATTAGATCAGTGGTTTCAATTAGTTTTGAAAAAATAAATCCTGTTTTTAAATGAAAGCTTAAATGAGAGCTGCATATTTAAAAACATTATGAAGGGAGAAAGCATTTATGTCAAAGAGGTTGGCAATCCTTTTTGCAGTTCAATGGAAACTCAAATTTCTCCAGGGACACAAAAAAACCCTTTGAACTATAATGATACATTTAACTGTGAGATTCTGCAATCCTTGGGTCTTAAAGCAGGAATGGGAAACAGTGAGAGAGTAGAAGCAGAGAAACCTTTCTTGAAAATTATACAATGTAACCATTTGGGGCTTTAATAAGTATGGCTATAGTTTAATTTTACTTTCTTCAATAGGCTACTATATCTTGTCTATAAGAAGAAAGTTAACTTGGAAGAATGAATGAACTCCCAATCACAAAATTAACTTTTTGGTCTTTAATTGATGAGTTATCTGGGGTTCTGGAGGGATGCATGTTTTGGTGGATTTTCATTTTCTAACAGCTTTAAAAGAGTTAATTCATACACAGTGTTTAAAACAATGTTTGAAATAGAGTAATCTCCCAGTAAGTGTCTGCTACTATTATAATGACATTCTAAATTTCTGCAATTTTTAGATTTTCCTAATAAGCATGCATTGCTTTGGATTAAGAAAAAATGATGCTATGTAACAATAAAGCAATAAAACATTTATAAATGGAAGTTACATAGAGTAACTTCTTTTTTTATATCAAAATGTAAACTGTGTTCTTTTAATTAGTGCTCACTCACAAGGTAGATTCAAGGTTTCCATAGCTGCTTATCTCATTTTTCATACTTAATTCTTCTACCATATTTTATAGGCAAAGGCAAATTAAATGCATATAGAAAAGATCAACTCAGTTTATATAATCCAGTTCTTCTGATCCCTAAGGAATCATATATGAATTCTCGTGTGTATGTTAACACAGCTCAGATACTGTTGAACTGCCAATGAAAAGGGTAAAGAAAGAGAGGGATTTCATAGTGCAAACTACAGAATGTCAGTCATCATCTGGTTCTACCAGAATGAAGTCACTTGCCACTGCAGCAACTATGAAACTCTACAGAACCAGACCCTGCATAAAACGCTTCACATAAATGCTATGAAACAGACACTGGTTATTCCCATTTTATACCTAAGGAATCTGAGATCTTCTTACATATAAAGTTAAAATGACCTGTTGGAGTAGCTCAACTAATAAAAGAAAGAGATGAGTCTAAACCTCTTCTATTAAGAGTCAAAAAACCCTGAAACAACTGATAATAGGACTAATCATTCCTTACTTTTTTTTAACTTGACCAAACCAATTAGAATCAATTTAAAACAAGATTATAATATGTAAGAACAGGGTATTCCCTGGCAGTACAGTGGTTAGGACTTTCACTGCCAAGGGCCTGTGTTCAACAGGGAACTAAGATCCCGCAAACCACAAGGTGAGTCCAAAAAAGAAAAGCAAGAACAGAAATGAAGAGCTGATACAAAATTGTTGTTGTTTAGTCAATAAGTTGTGTCCGACTCTTTTGCAACCCCACTGACTGTAGCCCACCAGGCTCCCCCATCCATGGATTTTCCAGGCAAGAATATGGGAGTGGGTTGCCATTTCCTTTTCCAGGGGGTCTTTCTGACTCAGGGATGGCACCCATTGGCAGGCGGATTCTTTACCACTGAGCCACCATGGAAGCCCCTGATACAAAATTAAGAGCATCCAAAAATGTGCACCACACACAAACAACAGGAAGTCAGCCTTTAATAAGACTGCAGATTCATGTCAATGTATGGCAAAAACCACTACAATATTGTAAAGTAATTAGCCTCCAATTAAAATAAATAAATAAATTTTAAAAAAAGACTGATACAAGACAGGTATGCAAGTGAAGCCAACAGGCAGACCTGAAATATAACCTGTCACACAACCAAGCTCTTTAACCAGTTTTCTTGATCAAAATCATCCACCAGGCAAAGGAAACAATAACAAAGGGATAAGTAGACACTTAAGACCAGGGCAGCTTCTATTTCTTTTAATTGGTCCCACACCTTGCTCAGCCAAATAAAACAAACAAAAAGGCTCACACATGAATGCAGAATCACAGGAAGAACATGTACGAATGTCATTTATTAGTAGGAGCAGGGGCTGAAGAGGGGATAAGACTTTACAAAATAATAGCAATTCCCTATTGGTGTAAAATCTTTTCATAACACTAAGGGATTAAAAGGAAATTCTGACTGTTACAAACAATCTAGATTATAAAATGTGAAAAAGAAATCTAGGCGAAGGATTGGAAGAGAGTCAACATTTTACTTTAAATAAAGAGGGTCCCAGGGAAATCCTAAACCTTACACTAAAATTCACCTCTGCTTGTGATCATAGCCTAAGAGACAGTTTATCCCTTCTTGGCCTGTTGGCTAAGAGCAAATGTAGTAAGATAAAGTTAAGTAAGCAAGTAACCACTACAAATTGTTAACATTTTGAAATGTCTTCAAAATGAAAAATTATGAGCATGTAGAGGAAGCTGACAAATAAGAATGCTTTTTATTAAGCAGTTTAAGCCTAAACAGGTCCCTTGCCTTAAACATGTTATGACTTCACTGGATACTACGGCAAAATCACAAGTAGCTGTGAAAAGACATGAGACATGGAGTGAAAAAGACAAAAGGCATAGATACAGATCAATTTCAAATCCAAGAGTAACCATTTATTAACATTAGATCTACAGGAGGAAACCTAATTTCCTTCATTCTCAGGATATTAATTTTTTAAAGGGTATAATAACAATAGTATCCATTCTGTTATAAGTTGAAAGTTGAAATAATAGAGCATCTTGCAAATGTTAATTAAATTTAGATTCAGTTTGATCCCTTAAAAAAGACAGCACTAATTTTTTTTTAAAGATACAGCCTCAGAAATGACCAAATACCCAATTCTGAAACCCAATTAGCTGATCACTTATCAGTGGCTGCCCACTTTACACAAAGTGTCTTATTTTTGGAGGCTCAAAAATGTTCAATGCCTTGCCAAGAGTCATTTGCAGTCACATTACTTGAATAAAATTCTTTCTTTTGGTCCCACTTAATTCTTTCCAGCAAGGCTATTGTTTAAAAGAAGTAATTTCTGAACACTGGCCTTTCCGGGATAATGGGATTTTATTAATATGTAGACAGTGCTCTTAGCTGTCTGAGTCTATGAAGCCAATGTGAAAACGCCTTTCTGAATACTAATGACACTTTTATATGTCATCCAAGCCATGTAACAAATTAGTTCTGTACCTGCACATGTGCTCTTTCGGACCGTATTCATTCCAGGGCGGGTCTCTATTTTTGTTGTTGTTTTTCCTTTTTGTCATCTTATTTATCCAACCTATTCAGCTTTTTCTCTTCAGGTATCCTCACCGTAAATACCTGCAGTCCGAAGCTGCTTCATTCTGTTCCTTCAGCCTGGATAATCCTCTCCGCCTTCCCTCCCTTCTCCCCTTCTTTCTAGGAAGCCTCCACAGTCCAGGACTGGGTCCCCTCCACCATCCTTGTGTGTACCCTTCTAAAGCCTCCTGTGATCGTCACTATCATCAAATTTAAAACCGAGAATTATAACTGCTTGTATTTCCCTTCCCCACTTGAGACCAAGCCTCCGAGACAGCATGCACTTTCTGTTCATCTCTCGGGACCCAGCTTCTAGACCAGGACCAACACACAGCATCTTGTCCAAGGAAGGGCAAAATTTCCCATCCACTCTCTCACTGGCCCAACTCAATCGGCCTCTTTATTGTCCTATAAACAGAACCTGCTACTGCTCTACTCTATAACCCACCCTACCCATCCAGGGGGTCTCTCTCTCTTTAGCAGAGTCCAATCTACCCCCTCACAGTGATTCCTGAAGCTTCTGGGGTCTTCCCCACTTCCCAACTCCCACGGCACTGAGCATCAGTAACCTGCAATTCAGCGCTTAGTTTTACTGTTTGATATTCAGTGTTAGATATTTCGTTTCCCTAATTATTAATAAATTTAACCTCCCACAAGGTAGAATTTACCTCAGCATAAATAATCAAGTTTTTAGACTACTGTTTGCCAATAGATGGGCTGCTTAAAAATCCTGAAGCCCCCCAGCCCTAACAGGATTTCAGCACTTGATTGCTTCATATAAGGCTGTACTAGATAATCTCTACAATCTTTCAATGCCCTGAGTAGAAAACACCTTAGGATTCTTTCATTTCTCCACATTTCCAGCATATAAGCTTTTTGTGGGCTCTTAAATATTTTTGCTCTCAACTAACAGCCACATAGAAACAAATGAGACATCACTCCGTTTATGCAGATAACTGTTTCTTACTAACCTGGCTTGAGACATCATTCCGCTTATGCAGATAACTGTTTCTTACTAACCTGGCTAATTGATAAAAAACAAAACAGACACCAAAACCTAGCTAAAAGTAATTTTTCTTTGTTGTTAAACTTCTCAAAAAGAATCATGCTTGTTTTTTCAATTTGCTGTCTCTCCTCCCTTCCCCACATGGACACATGTGATAAAATATGTCTGCTTTCCATTTTTAAAGAAGGAGAGAGACATCAAGGAATTCGAGACATTGATTTGTGTTCCAGCTTATTCATAGCTAGTTGGGTGACTCAAGGAGAGACAACAGTTTTTTGACCCTTGATTTCTTAACCTGCAAAATTAGAGTCACCATGGGCAGTAAATTGCCTTTACTACCTAGGGGAAAATTGTTAAAAAAAAACAAACAAAAAAGATTATATACAAAAGCACTCTGTCACTTCATAGAATTATTCTTTTTTGTATATTTGAAGTACCACCTGCTACAGTGATATTTCCTTCTGTATTATTCTTCCAAATCAAGACACTGTACTGACACAATCAATAAAAAGGATAAGCAGAGTAGTTACTAAAACCATAGAGACAAGAAAGCATCCCTAATTATAGCTCTTACAGTCATTAAACACTTTGGTAAGATAAAATTCATTTCCCTTACATCACTTTATTTTTTCTGGCTCATGTGTGTTTGATTTTTTTGGTATTTGTCCTATAAAATAAAAGTCTAGGAGGTACTTCTCATTGTTGCTTCATATATCATCTCTGGGATGTCACTGGAATCCTCTGAAGTTTAAGTAGAGAAAAGGTCACCTTGGACCTGTGAACCCCTATGATACATGTCACATTGATGAAAGGACGGTTCACAAGCAAAAATCCAAGACGTTTAGCTCTTCTGTAATTTCAAAATTTAGTTTGAGATTAGAAGTAAATGTTCTTAAATAAGGAGAAAAAAAATGAAGAAAAAAATAAGTAAAAGAGCATCATTTTAGAGTAGGTATAGAATACAGATGTTATAGGGAGGGTCACATGAAGCCTTCCCAAATAGGAATCTCCTCAAGAAGGGCAGGAAAACTTAAGATTCTTGCTACTTAGGATTACTAGATATTTTAATCTGCTCTCGTGGTGATGGAGCTTAATAGAATTGTCAGTTACACATTAATTTTACGCATTAAATTTACTTGAGGGTAGTTCAGATTCAACTGATTACATTCTAACTCTTCACATGATGATATACGTTTAGTCGCTAAGTCGTGTCTGACTCTTGTAAACCCACAGACTGTAGCCTGCCAGGCTCCTCTGTCCATGAGATTCTCCAGGCAAGAATACTGGAGTGGGTTGCCATTTCCTTCTCCAGGGGATCTTCCCAACCCAGGAATCGAACTTGGGTCTCCTACATTGCAGGCAGATTCTTTCCCAACTGAGCTTGATTGTGTAAGGCACAGGTATTCTATACAGGATTTTAGGATCTCATCTATTACTTATTATTACTATTAACAGCACCTATTAATATTTTTTTCATTTTTAAAAAATTTTTGTTTTGAATTCTTTTTTAAATTTATTTTTTCACTGGAGTATAACTGATTTACCACTTTGTGTTAGTTTTTCTGCTGCACAATGAAGTGAATCTGATATATATATATATCCCCTTCTGCTTGGACCTCCCTTGGTCCCACCCCTCAGGTCATCACAGAGCACTAGCTGAGCTTCCTGTGCTATATAGAGCAGCTTATTATTAATATTATCTTCTCTCACCCCTTCTACTTCTAGCCACATGTTACAGTCCTTTCCACATCCATCCTTCCTTTCTTTCTCCAGAAGTTGTAAGATGACATATTTTAAAATTCTTTCCTATCTAATGACCCAATTTCTGGCCCCCATATAACAAAAAATTTTTCATTTATCACATATCCTGTTTTTTTTGATGGTATCCTTATTTACTAACCTGTTAGTAAATTTTGTATTTTATATCATTGTATTGCTAGGCATGGAATCTGCTGTGTAACGCAGGATACTCACCCTGGCCTTTTCTGTATCTTGATGTTTTGTGGTTTGTTCTTTCGGCTTAATTCACTCCCATTCTTGAACCACTTGAACTTGAGAGAGGAGTATTCAGAACTGGTCTCGCACCGAAGCACTAGTTTAGAACCTGCCACAGACTCCTGACTCTTCATCTCTTTCAAGCGGGGAGGCAAGGCTAAAAGAGAAAAGAGAAGGAAAAAAGTTCTGATCACATGGTTCTCTTCCCAAGAGAAACATGTTCATTTTGGTGAGCCTGATCAAGAGGCTTTACTAACTGAGAGAGAAAAGAAAAAGGGGAAGGGGGTATCAGTTAAAATGTATCTCAGCTTAGAGAATAATAAAAATGCTCAGATAAAATATATTCAGGGGGAAAAAGAGAACTTAGGTTATAAAATTATTCTTTGAAACAGACACACAGATATAAAGAAGAAACTAGCAGTCACCAGTGGGGATAGGGAAGTGGAGAGGGGCAATATATGTGTAGATGATTAAGAGGTACAAACTATTAGGCATAAAATAAGCTACAAGGACATACTGTAGAACACAGGGGGCATGGCCTTTATTCTATAATAATTATAAAATATAGTGAAAGTGTTAGCTGCTCGGCCGTGTCCAACTCTTTGTGATCCCAGGGACTGTAGTCCACCAAGCTCCCCTGTCCATGGGATTCTCCAAATAAGAATACTGGAGTGGGTTGCCATTTCCTTCTCCAGGGGATCTTCCCCACCCAGGGATCAAATCCCACTCTCCTGCATTGCAGACAGATTCTTTACTGTCCAAGCGAAGCATAAAGCATAAAATATAGTACACCATTTAAAAATTGTGAATCACTATATTGTGCATCAAGTCTACTTCAATAACAATCTGTTCTTTAAAAACATTCTAAACAATACACACACACACACACACACACACACACACACACACATATATATATATTCAAGATAGCAATTTCTTCCATCTTTACATCCTCTGGTACTATTAAAAATCCTGAAGACTGGTCATTTCAAAGAATCAAAATCTTATGCTAAAGAATAACAGGTAATTGGGCCATTATTTCTAAAGCACATTCACCTTCCCACCACCCCCCCACCCCCAGATCACAATTAATCTGCATGACAGTTCTGTGAATATGTAAAACAGGTATCACACCCATTTTTTCCAGCGACAGGTTAAGTGTCTCTTGGTCACGGTTACAATATCTGGAGAGTCAGAGTTAGACTACGCTATCAACAGGAGAAATCCAGAAAACAAAAAGGACTCATACATCTTAACAACACTCATTTCTTCAAGACAGGAATTCTTTGGTGACATCACTCTTTCTTTGGTGACAACACTTTTATTGGGTCTACAGATACTCTCCCACAAACAACAAATGACCTTTCCAGAAGACCACCATACTCCCATCAGATTATCAGTTCGATTGGATTTCACCCTTCTAAATCTTCTCAACAGAGACAGGAGAGCACTTATATTGTGCATTAATTTATAGGACACTTTATGTGGCTCAGCTGGTAAAGAATCTGCCTGCAGTGTGGGAGGCCTGAATTCGATCCCTGGGTTGGGAAGATCCCCTGGAGAAGGGAAAGGCAACCCACTCCAGTATTCTGGCCTGGAGAATACTATGGACTGTATATTCCATGCGGTTGCAAAGAGTTGGACATGACTGAGTGACTTTTAGTCACTCATTCACTTATATTAAATGCTTACATACCATTACTATTTTAAGCAAGACCTATTTTAAGCAAGTACCTATTCTCTACTGAAATCTTTATGGATAAAATGTTGGAATATCTGAGATTTAATTCAATATGAAATGGTAGTGGGGAATGTGCTAAGTTGCTTCGGTCATGTTCAACTCTTCGAGACCCCATGGACTGTAGCCCACCAGGCTCCTCTGTCCATGGGATTCTCCAGGTAAGAATACCGGAGGGTGTTGATGTGCCCTCCTCTAGGGAGTCTTCCCAACCCAGGGATGGAACCTGCGTCTCTATATAACTAGCAGACTGGTCCTTTACCACTAGTGCCCCCTGGGAAGCCAGTGGGGAAAGGTTAGGCATAAAAATGAAATAAATTCCCCAAGAAGTTGACTGTGGTAAGTCAGTCAATACAAAGAAGCAGGGATTTAGTATACGACTCTTTTTTAAGATTTTTTTTAAAATGTAGGCCATTTTAAAACTCTTTATTGATTTTGTTACAATATTGCTTCTGTTTAATGTTTTGTCTTTTTGACCACAAGGAATATGGGCTCTCAGCTGCCCAACCAGGGATCGAACCTTCACCCCGGCATTGGAAGGCAAAGTCTTAACCACTGGACTGCCAGGGAAATCCCTGCAATACTATATAGTATGTCTGGGGTTTTTTTCCCCATAATAAAACAGTTAAAAAAATAAAAGCATATTGAATGGATTTTCCTCTGCACACATAATTTCACTTAATCAACACCACAGAAAGTGATGTCTCAACATCTCTGTTTCCACTGAGTCTTACAAAAGCCAAGTACAAAGTCTATTTCTGCCATAGTTCAGGACTTAATGAGAAGTTAATTCTTCAAATCCACCAAGAGACTGCACCTCTCAGACCCACTGAGCAATTATTCACTGTGTACAGCATCAAGACTCCAAGGATGGCAATCAGAACCATGTTAAGCACGAACAGGAAATGGTGTACCTTTCCCACTCTGCATATATTTATTTTTCTACAACTCTGCCCTTACCAAGAAAATCCCTCCAAAAATGTCAGGAATGAGTATATAAATTTTCCATTAAATCACAGCAAAAACTATTTGAACGCTGTGACTTCTTAAGTGTCCCTACAATTACACATCCCCCTTCTTCTTATTTAGAGGCCGGGAGATGAGGTGGAGAAGCAGACACTAAATGTGAAGACACAGCAGCAAGTTAGAAAACTGTATCAATATTTCAGCTGTTCTTAGCCTCTGACACCTGATGATTTTCTCTGGTTATTTTTCTTTTTGACAGCTTGAAAATAAGATTTACTTCCTGAAGAGCTTTCCTAGAATCCTTCCCTTTAAGATGTGGTCCACGAATTTCTGTTCTGGACGTTTTAAAAAAACAGACTAAATTCTTATCTATCTGGTATAGTATTTGTATATTCCTATTAACTCCTTAAGATCATTTTCAATTTTGTAAACCTAGTAAAGAGTTTTAAATGATACCAAAAAACTGGTTTACATCTATTAAGAAAAATAAACCACCTCATTCTTTTATGTACAGATTAAAAGAACTAGTTTGAATTTTTGTTGTTGTTTTCACTTAATTTTGTGTTGAGCTTGGCATACAGCCCAGATTTTCCAGGTTCATTCCCTTGTCTCTATCCAAAATGTTCTAAACCAATATTTGAGATGTCCTTAACTCTCATGAAGTACCATGTTCCCTCACCCACCTCTCCATTCATTTGCTTACCAATACAGTCTGAACACAAATCTACTAGATTTTGTCATCTTGTTTGAAATCTTCGTGAAGTCCATTTGCATCTCTTTTTACTTTTTTCCTCTTATTCTATTCCACTGTCTCTTTCTGTCACCTCTCCTTCCCCATTCCCCTCCTATCTTCATTTCTTTATTTATTATGACTTTAGTTAAGAGTCTTGATTTCAAATGTGAGGAAACAATTGGACAAATTCAAATTGAAGGTTATTTGACAAAAGAGCTGGTCTAGGCTCCAGGAATATCAATGTCACGAAAGATAAAACACTGTGAAACTGATGTAGATTAAAGAGACTGACAAACGCAATAGACTTTGACTAGTGATTGGATCTTGCTTCAGGGAAAAAATAGTTATAAGGGACATTATTAGGACTACTGGGGAAATCTGAATAAAGCTCCTGCATCAAAATTAAGTTTCTCAAGTGTGATAACTGCATTGTGGTCACGCAGAAGAATGCCCTTGTTCTTAGGCAGTATTTGCTGAAATATCATGATATCTACAACTAAATTTCACATGATTCTGCAAATAAGGATGTACATGCATACATGCACGTGCATGCACACACACACACACACACACACACACACACACACAGAAAGGGAGGAAAAGGAATATTGGTTTCTATTAGCTTTTTTGCCTTTTTAAAATCTGATCTTTCTGCCATTAAAAAAATCTCAAGCTTTCAGTAAATACTTTTGAAGTCTTGGCTAAATTTGAAGTCACTGAGATTCTTGGGAATATTTGTGTTGCAACTTACAAATGTAGCTCTTAAGATTATACTCTCCATTAAAATTCTGTGAGTGGTATGGCACTGAAATCTTCCTACATTCAACCTGATAACCATGACTTTGGGGCTTCAATCCCACTAGGCCCTTTGGTGGAAGGAAAACAATCTCTTATTTGGCAGGTCAACACATCTGCTCTCTCCTTTGGGGGTTCACATGCAAGACTGGTACATCTTTGTCCTTAAGAGATGATCTATGACATAATGAGGCACAGACCTTGAGAGGCAAGGCCTTTTGTAACTAGAATATCCACTCCTAAGCTAATCCCAATGTATAAATATTTCTTAGTGTTTGGGATTTGGATATACCTCTATTGACTAGCCTAAGCTGCTCTCTCTTGCATGTAGCTTCAAGACTGTCACAAGCACAGAAGCTTCCAGCATCCCTGGAAGTCCACTTGTCATAATGTCTCTGCTGTGTCTTCAGGGAAAACCAGCTATGATGTGAGGATATACCGATTTCAGAGAACAGCTGTTTTAAGGTGTTAAAATTCTCCATAAATGGAGAAACAAATCTGTGACCCACTAACCCAGCCACACGACTGCACTCTTGGCCCCTCGGTATTCTGCGGTCAGTGATACCTTCTAGAAAAGTACCACATAAAGTTCCTCACTCACTCCAGGTGGAGCCCAAATGGAGGCATCCTACAGACTAGGCAACAACATAAATTTTTCTTTATTTCTTCTCACATAACCACCCTAATGGAATACCCCTGGATATTTCAGGCTCTTGATAAGTGTGCAAACTAATGTTGAGGACATATGGTCTGTTGCTTTTTCTCCTCTATTCATAATGAGACAACTTTCAATAGAGTAAATTTCCTTCCATTAGATTATAAAACAATACATATATGTTATTAGAATACATTTTAAAACTACGTATGTTTCTCAGTTTACTCGCATAAAATAATCTCATTTATTTCATTGAGAAAGCACTCCACC